CTAAGGCACTTCACTGCTAACCAGAAGGCTGGTGGTTCAAACCCACCAGCCACTCCTCGGAAGGAAGGTTGGTCAATCTACTTCTGTAGTGATACCTCCTCGGAAACCCAAGGAGGGGTCGCTATGAGTTGTATACAATTTGACGGCAGTGAGTTTGGTTTATAGTGCCAGAAGATAAGCCCCTCATGTCAGAAGGCACTCAAAATACAACTGGGGAAGAGCTTGCTCCTCGAGTAGCATTAACTTTCATGACAGAATGGAGTAAAGCTTTTAGGACTTCCATTTGCTGATGTGGCTTGACTCAAAATGGGAAGAAACAGCTGCAAACATTCATTAATAATTGGAACATGGAATGTACAAAGTATGAATCTAGGAAAACTGGAAGTTGTGAAAAATGAAATGTAATGCATAAAGATAGATATCCTAGGTATTAGTGAGTTAAAATGTACTGGTTTTGGCCTTTTGAATCAGACAACCATATGAATTACTATGCCAGGAATGACAAATTGAAGAGGAATGGCATGGCATTCATAGTCACAAAGAATGTTTCAAGATCTATCCTGAAGTACAATGCTGTCAGTGATAGGATAATATCCATACACTTACAAGGAAGACCAGTTAATACTATTATTATTATAATTTATGCACCAACTATCAAAGCCAAAGATGAGGAAATTGAAGATTTTTACCAACTCCTGCAGTCTGAAATTGACCAAACATGCAATCAATATGTGTTGATTATTACTGGTGATTGGAATGCAAAAGTTGGAAATGACGAATCACCAGTATTTAAAAAACCTGGCCTTGATGATAGAAATGACGCTGGAGGTCGCATGATAGAATTTTGCAAGACCAACGACTTATTCATTGCAAATATCTTTTTTCAACAACACAAACAGCGGCTATACATGTGGACTTCACCAGATAGAGTATGCAGGAATCATATTGACTACATCTGTGGAAAGAGACAATGGAGAAGCTCAGTATCTTCAGCCAAAAACTAGGCCAGGAGCTGATTGTGGAACAGACCATCAACTGCCCATATGCAAGTTCA